GGCTCTGCAGTCCTGGAGGCAGGCACAAGGCACAGCAAGAGACTAAGGACAGAGGAATACAACAGAAATAGAAAATGAAAGCTCCTGGGAAGAAACAGGAAATAAAGTCAGTCAAAAGTACCCATATATAATAAAATAAAAGCACACACACAGCCCCGAAGACACATCCCCAGCAATGGTCTAAGAAGTCCCAGAATGTCTAGCTAGGTTGATTGGTAATGGTCCTCCCCTTAATATACCAGTCTATAAAGACTGGGAGAGGTAGCTATGTTTTCCAATGACAAAATCTCAACAAAAGATCACAAGGCATACAAAGAAACAGAGAAACATGACCCAATCAAAGAAACAAAATTAAACTCCAGAAACTGACCATAAAGAAATGCATGCCTATGAACTTTCTGACAAAGAGTTTAAAATAACTGTCATAAGGATGGTTAAGGACTTAAAAGAAAACACAGACAACTACACAAATCAGGAACACAGTGCATGAACAAAATGAGAATACCTACAAAGAGATAGAAACTATTTTTTAAAAAAATCTGGAGCTGAAAAATACAATAATGGAACTGAAAAATTCAATTGAATTTTGGTCATTTGAAATTGAATACAGGTCATTTGAAATCATCAAGTCAGAGGAGCAAAAAGCAAAAAGAATGAACAAAAGTGAAGAGAGCCTAAGAGTCCTATGGGACACCATCATACACCCTACAGATTACTATATCCTACAAAACTGTGCTTCAGAAATGAAGGAGAAATTAAGATCTTCCCAGATAAACAAAAGCTGAAGGAATTCATTACCACTAGACCTGCCCTACAAAAAAATGCTAGAGTCCTATAAAATGAAACAAAAAGATGCTACACAGTAACATGAAGTCATATGAAAGTATAAAATTACCCAGTAAAGGTAAGTATATGGACAAATATATAATCCTGTATTATTTTAATTCTGTTGCATAAATCTATTTTTAATTCTTATATGGAGAATAAAAGACAAAAGCCCAGAAATAGCCTATAAATCTATGTTAATGGGTACACAATATATAAAGATGTAATTTGTAACAACAGTAACAAATGGGGGGTGGGCAGAACTGTAAAGAAGTAGAGTTTTTCTATGTGATTGAAGTTATCAGTTTAAAATAGATGTTTATAACTTTCTAAGATGTTTTATATAATCAAAATGATAACCAAAAAGAAAATATCTATAGAATACACACAGAAGAAAATAAGGAAATCAAAGCATATCAGTAAAAAACAAAACAAAACAAAACAAAGAAGCACAAAGGAAGGCAGTAAGAGGAGAAATGAGGGACAAAAAAGCCACAGGAGTTATAGAAAACTAGTAACAAAATGGCAGTGGTAAATCCTTCTGTATCAGTAATTACTTTTAACAAGCCATTAGCTAGATAACTACGAAAAAAAAGAGATGACTCAGAAAAGAAAGAGGGATCATTACAACCAATACCACAGAAATAAAAAGGATTATAAGAGTATTATGAACAGTTGTATTCCAACAAATTGTAAAACCCAGAAGAAATGGGTAATTCCTAGAAACACACAATCTACCAAGAATGGATCATAAACAAATAGAAAATCTGAACAGACTTATAACTAGGAAGGAGATCGAATCAATAATCAAAAACCTCCCTACAAAGAGAAGTCCAGGACCTGATGGTTTCACTGGAAATTCTGCTAAACATTTAAAGAAGAATTAACACCAATCCTCCTCAAACTTTTCCAAAAAACTGAAGAGGAAGCAACATCCCAAACTCATTCTATGAGGCCATCATTACCCTAATATAAAGGCCAAAAACACTAAAGAAAATAATAGACCAATATCTTTGATGAACATTGATGCAAAAATTCTTAGCAAAATACTACACCAAACAAAATTCAGCAACACATTGAAAAGATTACACACCATGACCAAGTGTTTTATTCCTGGAATGCAAGGATAGTTCAACCAACAAAAATCAATCAATGTAATGCACTATATTAACAAAATGAAGGACAAAAACTATATATATTTCTCAATTGCTGCAGAAAAAGCATTTGACAGAATTCAACACCCTTTCAGGATAAAAACTCTCAACAAACTAGGTGTAGAAGAAAAATACCTTGACATAATAGAGACTATACATAAAAAGCCCACAGCTAACATCATACTCAATGGAGTATGAAAAATTGAAAGCTTTTTCTCTACAATTATGAACAAGACAAGGATGCCTACTCTCTCCACTTTTATTCAACATAGTACTGGAAGTCCCAGCCTGAACAATTAGGCAATAAAATAAATAAAAGGCATCCAAATTAGAAATGAAGAAGTAAAATTAACTGTTCACAGATAATATGATCTTATACATAAAAAACCCTAAAGATTCCACTGAAAAGCTTTTGGAATAAGGGAATTCATCAAAGTTGCAGGATACACAATCAACACACAAAAATCAGTTGTATTTTTATATACTAAAAATGAATGATCTATAAAGGAAATTTAAAAAACAATTCCATTTTACAGGAGTATCAAAAAGAATAAAATTCTTAGGACTAAACCTAAGGAAGTGAAAGACTTCTACACTGAAAAGTAGAAAACACTACTGAAAGAAAATAAGGAAGACACTAAAAAGTGGAAAAGCATCCCATGTTCATGAATTGGAAGGCTTATTATTGTTAAGATGTCCATACATCCTCAAGCAATCTACAAATTCAATGTGGTCCCTATCAAAATCCCAATGATGTATTTTACAGAAATAGAAAAACCCATCCTAAAATTCACATGGAATCTCAAAGGACCCTGAATAGCCAAAACAGTTTTGAAAAAGGACTCAGACTTCCTCACTTCAAAACTTACTACAAAGCTACAGTAATCAAAACAGTATGGTACTGGCATAAAGGCAGTCACATAGAGTAAGAGAATACAATAGAGATCCCAGAAATAAACCCTCACATATATGGTCAAAAGATTTTCAAAAAGGGTGTCAAGTCCATTCAATGGTGAAAGAACAGTTTTTTCAACAAATGGTGTTGGGAAAACTGGATATCTATATGTAAAAGATGAAGCTGGACCCTTACTTTGCACCATATACAAAAATTAACTCAAAATGGATTGAAGACCTAAATGTAAGACCTAAAACTACAAAACTCTTAGAAAAAAACAGAGAAAGCTTCATGACATTGGATTTGGCAATGATTTCTTGGATATGACACCAAAGTACAGGCAACAAAAGTAAAAATAGATAAATTGGACTACATCAAAATTTAAAAGTTTTGTTAATCAAAAGACACTACCAACAGAATGAAAAGGCAACCCATGGAATGGGAGAAAACATTTTCAAATCATATATCTGATAAGGGATTAATATCCAGAATGTATAAAGTACTCTTAAAATTCAACAACAAAAAACAAACCACCCAATTCAAAAATGAGTAAAGGACTTGAATAGACATTTCCCCAAAGAAGATAGACAAATGGCTAATAACCACTTGAAAAGATGCTCAACATCACTGTTTATTATGGAAATGCAAATCAAAACTATAATGAGATATTACCTCACACCCACTAGGATGGCTACTATCAAAAAAACAGAAAATAGCAACCGTTAGCAAGGATGTGGAGAAATTGAAACCCTTCTGCGTTGTTGGTGGAATTGTAAAATGGTGCACCCACAATGAAAACAATACGGTGGTTCCTCAAAAGATCAAAAATAGAACTTACCTATGATCCATCAACCCCACTCATAGGTATATATCCAAAGGAATTATAATAAGGGTATCAAAAAGATATCTTTATACCCATGTTCATAGCAGCAATATTCACAATAGCCAGGAGATGGAAACAACCCAAATCTCCATGGATGAACGAATGAACAAACAAAATGTGGTATATACATACAGTGGAATATCATTCAGCTTAAAATAAAAAGAAAGTCCTGTCACATGCTACAACATGGATGAACCAAGGGGACATTATGCTAAGTGAAATAAGCCAGTCACATAAATACAAATACCGTATGATACCACTTATAGGAGGTATCTAAAGTAGTCAAATTTACAGAAACAAGAAGTAAAATGGTAGTTACCAGGGGCTGGCATATGTTCTGAGAAATGTTTCGTTAGCTAATTTCATTGTCATGCCATCATAGAGTGTACTTACACAAACCTACTACACACTAAGCCTCATAGTACTAATCTCACAGGACCACCGTTGTATATGTAGTCCATCATTGACTGAAATATCATTATGTGGCACATGACTGTATACTTAATACTTCTGAACTGTATACTTAAAAAATGGTTAAGATAAAAATTATGTTTAATAATCAAAAAATTTTTTTAACTGAAAAAAATGCACACAGCGTGGTCTTAAGGGTTTTGGCTTTTAAAAAGGTTATGTTTTTTCAAGTATATATTCTTCACAACTTCATTATGTTTCAAACAATGCTTTGTCAAAGTTGCCAATATTAAAGTTTTCTCTATACAGCTCTATGATATGGGAATAGCAAACTGTCTCTACACACTTTAAAATTCTTATGGAGAGAAAATATTAGAAAAGATATTTTCCTTTCTTTTTTGTTTTCAAATTGTGTGCTACATGTAAGAGATAAATAATTCACTTCTTACAATTTTCCAATATAATAAAACAGCCCAGTAATTGGTTAACAACAAAAAAAGAGTATTTGATTAATAAAATTCTGGCTAAAAACACTATAAACGGGCAAGTTATAAATGAATTTTTAAAATCTTTTAAAATTTTTAAAATGAAATTTTAAAATCAAAAACATTCATCATTCAGTTATCAAACTCCCCTGGTTGAGCCAAGTGTAAAAATCACAGTCATAGGGTACTATGACTATGAGATTTCCACTGTGCTCAACATAGTTAATTGAGAAAAAAAAAAAAAAGGCTCATTGGGATATGTGAAAGTTTTCTTGTAATTGTACTTATGAAGGGGTTAGCAGAAACTGTATTTGTATTTGACTCATATCTTAATCATTTTTTAACAGAACTCCTGGGGCCTTTGCACAGAGGTGATACGCTAAATGAAGCTTTTGTTGGCCTATCTTTAGCACCTCAAAGAGAAGACACATTTCCAGATAACCTCCCTCACTTTTGTTCAGTCCATAGACATATTATTCAACAAAGAACACTGAATGTTTCTTCTAATGGGTAAGATATACTGAATTGAGAAAATTACTCCATAAAGGAAGAGTATTTAGTATTAAACAATTTAAGTATTCCCTGTTTAAATGCAAACTAATAGCAAAGCAAGGATATCTCAAAATGTCAAAGAAAAAACTATGCATTTTCTCATGGCTAGGACTTTGCATAGTTCGGTCATACAAGAGCAGGTATGATGGAGGCAGAATTGAATGTAAATAGAATACTGTTAGAATGAATGTCACTACAGGCCAAAATGAAATTACTATAACATTGAATTCTATTTGTATTATGTTGTTAAATTTTAGGATTGTTAGGTTATTACATTATTAGATTATTAAAACTATTGATTTTTAGAATATTTAGTTTGAATTATAATTTATATGATCACACTTATGCAAGCTTGCCATTAGTGTTTGATATCTGATAAATGAGAATATCTATACAGCTTGCCACACTGGGTTATTGAGAAAATAAACAGAAAGGATAAATGTGAAATTAAAAACACTAGACAAAGTATAGTTTATTTCTAATGATAATTATAATGTTAATGATGATGATGATACTCTGAAGCAAAGGTGAGCAAGCTTTTCAGGTAAAGGATCAGATATTAGGCTTTGTGGGCCCTACAGACTCTATCACAACTACTCAGCTCTGCTGTTGTAGTTTGAAAGTAGCCATAGATAATATACAAAAGAATGAGAATGGAAGTGTTAAAATAAAACTTTATTTACAAAAACAGACAGTGGGCAGGATTTGGAGCCTGGTCTGTAGTTTACATACCTGCTCTTGAGGATCCCGACTATATGCAATAATTGTGAATAGCACACTTTTCATATATATTGTATATGATAAATATGAATATATGAATCAATTATATATAATATCCTTGAGGAAAATGCCTCGAACTACGTAGATTAATAGTAAATAAAAGGGCAGGATTTCCAGGTATGGCAGAGTTAGTGATTAGCAAATCCTCTCTCCAGGAAACAATTATAAAACTGGACAAAAACTACCATTTCAGGGCTCTAGAAATCAAATAGAGGCGAACCACAAATTGAGAAGCATTTATGCATGAAAAACTGCTGAACTTCTAGGAACAAAGTGGAAATTTGTGATGTTCTGGGGCTGCTCCCATCCTCCCACGACTCCCAAGCTAGTTCAGCCTTGTAGTTCTGCTAGGGTAGGACAGGCTGTGAAAACCAACAGCTGACTTGATTTGGAGCTTAAGAGTGGAAAAACTCCGCCCAGCAGCATTTTTAATAAAAATAGCAAACTCACTGTTAGTAAAAGTAACAAATTTGATAGGAAATGAAGAGGGAAAGTCAGAGTTCTACTAGCCTGCTTAGGTCAAGTAACAGAATGGCAAACTAGCCAGAAATTTAACAGAGAGATTCTGGAAATGAGAGAACCAAAGAAGGACTAATTAAGCTCTCTCTACATATTCCTAATGGAATCGTATGGCTCTCATTTTTTGGCTCTCTTTTGTCTTGCAGGACCCTAAATTTTCCCCTTATACTTCTTTCCCCCTTCACACCCAGTTGCCAAAAGGTGCCTCTCCCTTTTTGCCTTTTATCACCTACCCATCTACCCGACTACGCAGAAGCTACGAATTTAAAGAACTGCCCCTTTAAATTGCATGGTACTTTTAAGCCCCTTCAGTGTAGTCCATGCTCCAATCTACAAGAACACCAGGAGTTGGAGAGATCATGCACTGGGATTTGGGTTTTTTTCGATTTTATTTATAATTATTTTGAAGTTCAGACATTCTCAGTCTTTAAGTCATGACAAAGGTGTGGTTTGCGTGTGGTTTTGTTTCTCCCTCTATTATGTTCTGTATTGTTCACAGAGGAAGTTTTGGGAAGTGGAAAGGAAGGCAGCCACTATTATCTTCAGCCACCTGGAAGTCTTAACTCTTTACTTTTTTAAAAACAACTTTACTGAGGTATAATTTACATATATCACAAAACTCACCCATTGTAAGGGTACAATTGAATGACATATGGTAAATTTATAAAGTTGCACAACTACCACGACAGTGCCGTTTTAGAATATTTCCATCACCCTAAATAGTTCCTTTGTGCCAATATATAGTCAATTCCCACTCCCACCTACAGCCCGAGCCAATCAGTGGTCTGCTTTCTGTCTCTAGAGATATTTTATATAAATGAAACCACACAATCTAGAAATTTCATATAAATGGAGTCATACAACATGCTGTCTTTTGTGTCAGGGTTCTTTCACTTAGCATTATGTTTCTGAGGTTCATACATATTGTAACATGTCGTTTATTCCTTTTTAATTGCTGAATAGTATCCCATTGTATGGATATACCACATTTTGTTTTCCCACTCACCAGCTGGTGGATATTTGAATTATTTCCAGTTTTTGGCTATTATGAATAATGTTGCTATAAATATTCACATATAAGTCTCTGGACACATGTTTTCATTTCTCTTGGGTAGATTATCTAGGAGTGACATTGCTGGATCATATTGTAAGTTTATATTTATCTTGTTAGTTTTCAGAAACTGCCAAATTGTTTTTACAAAGTGATTATAACATTTTACTTACCCACCAACAATGTATGAGGGCTCCAGTTTCTCAACATCCTCAGCTATGGTTGGTGTTGTCAGTCTTTTCAATTATAACTATTCTACTGGGTGTAGAGTGGTATCTCATTATGATTTTAATTTGCATTTTCCCAATGACTAATCATGTTGAGCACTTTTATGTGATTATTAGCCATTAACATATCTTATTTGGTGAAATATCTATTCAAAACTTGCATCTATTTTTTAATTGGGTTGTCTTTTTATTGAATTATAAGATTTCTTTATATGTTCTGAATATGTCATATTAGGTATATGATTTCAAATATTTTCTCCTAGTCTGTGGCTTGCCCTTTCATTTTCCTAACACTGTCTTTTGAGTGCCAAAGTTTCAAATTTTGGTGAAGCCCAAGTACCCACTTTTTCTTTTACTGATTGTGCTTTTTGTGTTGTACATAAGAAATCTTTTTCTAATCTAAGGACACAAAAATTGTCTCTTATGTTTTCTTCTGGAAGTTTTATAGTTTTAGCTCTTACATTTAAGTCTGTTTTGAGTTGATTTTTATTTAAGATATGATATAAGGGTCTAAGAGTATTATTTTGTACATGGAAATCCAATTTTCCAAGGACTACTTGTTGAAAAGGCTCCTTTCCCCCAATGAATTGCCTTTGTACCTTTGTCAAAAATCAACTGACCAGGGCCGGCCCAGTGGTGCAGCAGTTAAGTTCGCACATTCTGCTTCGGGGGCCCAGGGTTCGCTGGTTCAGATCCTGTGTGCAGACATGGCACCGCTTGACAAGCCATGCTGTGGTAGGCGTCCCATATGTAAAGTAGAGGAAGATGGGCATGGATGTTAGCTCAGGGCCAGTCCTCCTCAGCAAACAGAGGAGGATTGGCAGCAGTTAGCTCAGGGCTAATCTTCCTCAAAAAAAAATCAACTGACCATAATTGTAAAGGTTTATTTCTGGACTTCCCATTCTGTTCCAATGGTCTATGTAAGTATCCTCACACCAACGAGTGTCTAGACTTTGATATACTGAGGGCTCCACTGAACAAGAATCTCACAAAATACATCCTAATACCACAAAAATAAACAGGAAAAAGATGACAGTTCCATACAGAGTTACTTCAAAACAACAGCAGATGAAAAGCAATTATAGATTAATTGAGGAGAATTCTCCCCTCAGAAACAACCATGAAGCAGAAGAAAACTGTGCAACAACACTCCAAGCAGAATTAAATATACTCAAGCAAGTGGGTACATGGAAACCCACTCTGAATTAGAAAGACAAAAACTAAGAGAAAGAAGGGGAAAAGAGGAGGTAGTGGGGGAAAGACGAAGTTCCTTGAACTCAAGAAAGAAAAGGAAGAAAAAGACAATATTATCTTAGAAATGAAAAGTAAATTACAAGGTGCCCAAATGAGAATAAACTCAAATTAAAATTTAATAAAAGGCACTGAAAATGACAGAAAACAAGAGAATGAGAAGGAGATATAGAAATAAGTTTTTAAAAAGTCAGGGAGAAAGTAATGGAATAGGAAATAAGGCAAAGAAGCAATAGCAGGTGTACAATTTGATTCCTTAAAGAAGAAAAATAAAACAATGAAACAGAATTAATATTTAAAACTGTAACCCAGGAAAATGTTTCAGAAATAAAATTTTTTTTAAAAAGACTTGGATCTACATTTTGAAAGATCATACCAGGTGCCTGAGAAAAATTATATTAGAACTCTCAGCTCTAAGGCATATCCTAACAAAACTCTTAGATTTCAGTGATTAATTTTAGAAAGCTTCAAGGCCTCCTGGTAAAAAAAAAAAAAAAAAAGATCAAAGGCAAAAGAATTAAATTAGCATCAACCGTTTCAAAAGTAAAATAGAAGGTAAGGTAAAAGTAGAGCTGCAATTTTTAAAAACTTCATGAAAAGAAGTGTGAACCAAGGATTTTATATCCAGTCAAGCTCTCCTTCAAGTATCAAGGCTAAAGAAAAACTATTTTCATGAACACTTCTTGAGGAATGTACTAGAGGAAGCGCTTCCTCCAACCATGAGATGACTGGGAAAACTTCAGCAAAATGACTGATTGTGAACATTTTAATACACAAAAATGTAGATATAAGATGAAAACAGGGTTGTGGGGAAATGAATGTGGAAGACTCATGTACAGATACTGTATGTTGTGATTAAGTAGAAATGATACAACTAAAAAAATGGGAGGCAAACAGGAGCGAAAGAGAAAAGTAGAATAAGCTCATTGTTGTAGAGGCATAGGTGGGAGTTAAAAGATGCCAATAAATATGGATCCATCACATAATAAAAAGTTAATTAAGAAGAGACTAAGAGTACTAGTACAAAGGTCACCACTTAAACAAAACTATAAACCTTCCTAAATACCATTTAAAAAAAATAAATTAGAGCAAAGGAAACACATACCTCAGAAAGAAACACAAGCAAATAT